TTTAAGCTGAGGTTTGCCCAAACTTTGACCAGACAGATCCCTGCAGGGGTGGGGAATCCTGATGGGCTCTGAGGGACCCCATCTACGTAGACACAGGTACAATGGAGATGCTTTCTAAAGGATGTGGGATCCTGTATTATTAGCTGATTGCTCTGGCCTTTCTTCATATCTCACACAAAGAGCTGCTGCCTCTGACCCACTCATCACATGGTTCGTATCCTCACTTAAATCAGACCTTTCTCATTTCTGTTGGAGATGATTCTTGTTCCGTCTACTATAAATTGCTCTAATAGTCCTTCATTCATTATCTCTTCCTCTCTTAGCCTCTCCAGTAGGGTGTAAATCTGTAGATTTCATTCATGGATGTTATAGTCAATCAATTACACCCAAAACATAAAGCCAGCTTATTACTTGTTGATGATTTCCATACACATTGTTCTTTATGTTATAACTCTGACAGCAGCTGGTTACACCATTACTTGCTAAATGAAAGCATCCAGAGTTGCAGGTATTTTTTTGAAAAGCATCTAAGTGTCTTGGTACCTAAGTCTCCTCTTCAAAGTAATGTAGGCTGCCAAGTTCCATCAATTTTAATCCTCTTGTTACCTTCACTAGCTTCTTATCAAACACCACAACTAGTTCAGAATTTTCTTCTTTATCAAATACTGTCCTCCCAACTTGTTCTGCCCAAAGTCTTTACCAAAACACAAATCTTTTCTTTCCATTAATTGCACTGCTCTGATCCTGGCCATGTTTGCCATTGCAGTTGCCCAGTCATTCTAGAGGTGCTCTTTCTAGCAAGCCACAAAGTCCCATCTCATCTTTAAATTTCGTCTTGATCCTCATATTTTACCTCTAGCTTCAGAATTAATTTAAGAGTAAAGCAGTTTGGGATCCTTTACATGAAAGATTATCTACCTGCCTAATCCTGCTTTCACTGATGCCTCTAGGATTTTGACACATCACATACTCTTGTGTTTACCTGTGTGAATCACACCAGGTGAAAAATGATTTAGTGCACCATTCCTGGCTGTGCCTTTCGCCCTCACCTTCAGCCATCATTATGTGTCCTACTCCACTGGTGAACCTCCATGAAATGACTTTGAGATATCTAGGTCACATCTAGGTCCTCTCATTTCCAAACTGGCAGAAAAAATTCAAATGAGCTGGCACTTGACCCATCAGCATATCATTTAGTGGCAAAAGCCTTCCTCATTCTACGTAGTCGGGGACGTTTTAATTGGTCCTGTCTCCTTTCAGAGTCTGTGCAGCAGCAGAAACTCCTGAAGGTGTCCTTGTGCCTCAGCACAAGTTTCTTGAGAGTCTCCCAGGGAAGCAGCCTGACTTGCAAAGGCAGTCGGAGTCTCACTTGTGCGCTAGCCGAGCCGCGCCGGCTGGAGTAGTTCTGCATGGGGCCAGGCCATCACTTCCACAGTTTTTGAGAGACTAACATTGTCTTGGGAGTACCTGCACGGGATGCCTCTGCCTCCTTCTCAGTCTGCCCTGCCTTGCACAAGAAAGCAACACATGAAAATTTCTCTCAGCTTTGCATTTCTGTGGAGAAATATCCATAAAGCAGCACGTTGTAGAGACCCACAATGTGCTGCATTTAAGCACAGACAGCTGACATGGTGGCAGCTAGAGCATTCCTGAGCTGCTGAATTACTCTTTGACTGCTCTGCTTTACAGCATTATCCTAGAGAACAAGTGGCTCTCACTCACGATGGCTTCACCAAGGATTACAGCAGCACTTCTGCATTTGCTAAAGGTGTGTTTGCATTTTCACACATTCCCAATCGGTTTGGGTGCCTGCATCAACGCAGCTGGGGCTGATTTTCCAGGTAGTGGTACCTGAAACTCTTCAAGCCTTATGCTGGAGTTGTTGGTGCCCAGGCTCTCTGAATAACAGATTCTCAGGTTGTTACATGGGTCATTGGACCCTGGAGGCACACAGAAAATCCTCAGATACGCTTAAAGTTTATTCTTATGGGCTGAATTCAGACGGCAGTTTATAGTTGCTTGGGGAGAGGACAGTAGGCACAAGGGGCGGGTAACAGGCTTTCACAGCAGTGTGAGGAGACCTCGTTCTTCTCAATTGCCTAAGTGGGGGACCAGACTGCAACAGCCTTACTCTAAATCACTCCTTGCTGGCTTCAATTTAGGTACCATAGCATGTTCAGATGTCCTAAATTTCACCAGTGCCCCTGCACTCACTCAGGGCATATCTCTGAGGACTCTAAAGAGTGCCAGGAGTAAGTCAGTAGGAAATACAAAGCACCGGGTTTATGCTGAATTTAGGTTGCCTGTATATGGCTGGGTGTGACTCAGGCGCCGCTGCAGGACTTTGTCTTGCACGCTGGGATCCAGTGCCAGGACTTGGAGTCCAAAATGCAATCCCAGACGTGATTCACTGGCCTGGAGTTGTATTTGGTAAGTAATAATGCCAATTCCAGAATCTTACTATGGTTTATTTACTGGTTATATTAGCATGTGAGCTGATTCACATTGCCACAGAAACCCCTTGCTTGCCTATGAATGTTATTATGCTATCAACTGCTTCTGATACCTCACACATTTTTGTCTATTTTCTCCCTCCCAATCTACTTTTTTAAGGCCAACAAACCTGCTTCAATGCCAGCATCTGCCTTTCTAATAATGTAACTATTTACTGCATCATTGTGCTCTGCTCTCATTTCATGTTGTCACACTCTCCACGACATTATTTGAAAATTGTCAAAACCCTCAGTGAGAAATTTCTACCAGAAGGAAAATGAGAAATGCAAACGGTGCAGCCTGGTTACCATGAAAAGGCACAGAGACTGAAGTCACGCTGTGCCTCTGCAGTGTGACCTTATTCTGGACTCAGGCTGAGACACTCAGACTGCATGTGCTAGAAAAGCTGATGCTTGGTTTATCTTGCTGCGTGTGCTTTCAATATAGAAGCTCCAAATCCCTCTGGACAGCTTTGCACTGTGTTTCCATCACCATCCTTTGTGTCTTTCGGTCAACAGAGTTCACTGCTTTCTCCAGCAACAAATGTCTGTGCAGTGATCACTGAATTATTATAAAAACAAGAAGTGCTTGTATTGAGTTATATCTCCAGGATTGAGTGAACCTGACTTAGGCTAAGTGGCTTTAACTGAATCAAATGCACCAGATAAAGGAGAAGCAAAAATAACTGAGTGAGTATGCTGAATGAGGTGCTTCTTATCAGCAACCATGTAATGTTTCCCTGAGCTCAGTCCCCAAACAACTCTACCTACAGCAGCTCACAGTTGCTTGTCTTTGTCAAGGTGGTCCTTAGGAATAAAGAAATAGACTGGGTTTGCAGTGCCTTGTCAAAGCACTCCTGCTGTGTAGTCTCTGCAGGCTGTGGCAGCCCAGGACATGCTACAGCCATTACGCTCAGGGTAGGGAAGAAAAGATGTTTTAGGAAGAATGGTGTGTTTAGGCAGTGTTTTGGTCAGTGTGGCTACACGAGAGCTCTTCTCTAGGATGTTGCCGGCTAATTTCATACTGTTTTCCAACTTCCATCCCACGTGCCCCAGAACTCCACCAAAGGTATCCCTGAACCAGGTGGTGGCTGCTGATCTGCTCGGCTGCCCTGGTGCAGGGGGTTGTGCCTGGCACCAACACCTCCCTGCCTCCCCCAGTGGCAGCACATCTCTCTGTCTCCATGAGCTGGCTTCAGGTGGAATGGGCACATCGGGTGTTAGCCCAGTCCATGTACACCCCGGCATTCAGAAACACTCCTCTTCAGGTGTTATACCAGCGTCCTTCACTGTACAGATGGGGGTTAACAAGCCCCTGCAGAAGATGTCACCACAGAAGGGAGCAGCTCAACCATTACCAGGCTGGCTGACACTTGCTAGTGTTTGCTTCTCTGGTTAATTTATTTGTGGAAACAGGCAACCCATTATTCATTAGGTGATGGGCTAGTAGTACATGGACCACCTCTTCTGCAATTGGTGGAACAAGGAGTCTCCAAAACAAGTGATCCAGAGGTCTGCTTTCTAACCAGTTTAAGACCGACACAGACAGAATGTTCCTCAGCTGTTCCACAAGCTTCTGAGTAGAACAAGGTCATTTATTTCTGGAACCAGCACTGAAGGGAATGAGGGCTATCTGCAATTTAATAAAAATTTTTAGTGGCACACATTCAGAGTATCTCTTCTCAATAAAGACGCCAAATACAAACTGGTACTGTAGGCTTATAAGGCACACAACTGTGGGATGTCTGCATGTCTTTCTCCATGTAATAAACATAATATTGTGTCAAGCTTTATTTCCTGTGGTTTGAAAACCCACCCATGAAGTTATGTATTGTCCCATATCTGACATGGCTGAATAGAGGACTTGTTCCTGACATTGATAAGAAAAATGTATACCACTAAAAAATAACACCACCCCCACCCCGCAATAAATCCAAACAGAAATACACACTGAGTTACTCATGATTTTCAGCCAGATCAATTATCAGAATGTCTTCAGAATAAAGCTGGTGTCATTTTCTAAGTTGTTTGGTTAATCCAATAAGGCTACTGAATATCACCAAGTATTAAAGATGTGAAGTCAAAAAGCTTTTTTTCAGCTCAGCTGTGCTGAATGGCAATTACACATTCTGAACAATCATACAACTTCTTTAATCAAATGAGGTAATATGAAATTGGCTAGATTTTCCTTAATACTTTCAACTTCAGTGAAAAATACAATAATTAAACTCTCGGTACAATGACTTTCAAACCTCTGCGCACTCTCAGCCCCCTCCCTTCTTCTCTCTCTGGATAATAAATCCTTATGAAAGCTGCCACCACGACTGAGACAGGTTGTGAAATTGTTTAATAATGTTGACTCAAGTAGTGACATCATTTGGAGACTTTTGGTTTTCTTGCAATGTCTTTAAAGACAACTGCGAGCTGTTGGATGTGACAGAGCAGATACAGCCCCCAGCGGCAGGAAAGAAAGTGTTTGCAGCTAGAGGGGCAGGCTCTATATCCCCCATGGCGATTGAGGTGAGTCAGCTTTAGGGGGGAGGAAACCGCAACATTGTCCTCTTTCTCCTTCCCTGGTGGCCCATGTTACAAGCCCTTTTTTGAAACACTTCTCTTAGGAGATGGACAGAGACAGGTGAGTTAATGCCTCATATTTTGGAGGCCAGGAAGGGTGCCCAAGCCCCTCTTGACAGCCCAAGCAAAACATCTTAATGTCCCTGGAGAATAGAAACACCCAGTGAAAAGTAAACCCTGTGGAGCCAATTGCTTTCCCCATTCTGAGAAGCAGCCGCTGATCAGGCCACGGGGCACTTGCTGAACCCATGCAGAGTTGGCAGTCGGACTCTGGGAACATCTGTTTTACAAAACTGATCGTTTCACCAGGAAGACACAAATCTACTTTAAGAAGGATGTAAAGAACGAGCCCATGAGGTTCCTTCCCACTGCTGTGCTTTTTCATCTGTGAATGTTAGCCTAACTCCAGAAAAAATTATCAGGGTGTACCTCAACCAGCTGTATATTGGGAAAAGAATCACTTTTGTTGTTCCTTGTATGGGATGTGTTGTGAGTCTTAGCACCCTGGCTCCGGTGAGACAACCACACCGCATTTCAAAAGGCAGTTCAACCCCCACAAAGTGCTGCAAAATAATAACAAACTCCCCAAATATCTTGTGGTTTTAAAAGTAAGTATCTAATAAATCTGAACATTATCTGTTTAAACGGATGTAAAATGTCTGTCTCTCAAAAGCTGAGCTGTAATTCTAAGGATGCCATGGAAAGAAGAAAAAAAAATTACTAGCTCTAGTAACAGATGTGAAATTACATTAGATAAATATAATCATTAGTTTCAGTCTCACCCTGGTTAATTTGTTTGTGGAAATGTGCAACCCATTATTCATTAGGTAATTTTTCACACATTGATTAGAAAGCCATGTCGAATTGTGACCCAGCACATTGGGGTTTGCCTATCTCGCAGTGAACTATATCGCTTACAATAGTGGAAATGGGGGACAAAATGTTTATCTCAGGCTGATTTTGTGCCAATAAATAAAGTAAATCAATAGCCAGTGAAGTGTGAACGACATTTCTCTGCTGTATAATATGGTTTTGGGGGCAATTTGACATGCTACAAGGGGAAACAAGGGTCTTGAACAGAAAGGTAATAAAAGCAAATCATGTTGGTAACTGTTACTGAAGTCCTGTATTTTTCTCCACATGGGCAGCTTTAAGATGAGAAAAATAATGCATGTAACAGTATAAAAACACCGAGACACTCCCCAGCTTTGTAAACATTGGGGATCAAATCCAGATGTGGTCAAGGGAGGGGCAGGTCTCTGGGAAATGGATGTGCCCAGGGATGCCGGCTCTGTGTTTAGATGGGACATTGGGCTGCACTGGCAGTGCCGACACTTCCCTGACAGCATTGACCTCTGCTGGTTTCTGCCCTCCGGTAGCTTCCTTTCTAGGGGGTTAATTTCTGAGGCTATAAATAGTTTTGCATCAAATCACAGAAGCAGTGTTCCCATATCCCCTTGAGACCACTGCAGCATGGATGCAGCTTATTTTAAGCGGTGTTTGCCACTGGTGTAAACCAGTGGAACTTCATCAGCTTCGGTGTGTTATACCTGTTTGCACCAGCAAAGAAGTTGACCCTTCGTTACTGTTATTCAGCTTTGATATTTTGCCTTTGCGAATTGCAGATAAGTAAAAAAGGAAAGGACAGAGCATTACACATTTGCAGTTGGTGCTATCAGGTCTGTCTTTTACACCCCTACTGATTTATTCTTCCCAAAAGACAGTTTGGGCAACATGCGTACATGATCAGTGATTTTATGCAAACACCCATCGTGGTGTACCTTGTTTCATCCACACTGCTTCTTGATTCAACCAAACATAAATGGGAATAAACCATTTTTTTTTGTCTCTGTGTGTGTGTTGGCATTTCTATAAGAAAGAGAGTGGAAGAGAAGTTACAGAACAGTGTAATAAACTCAGCCAGCCCCAGCCAGGAACTTTCCCAACCCTGTGCCCATGGGTCTTGGTTGGTCTCAGCTTCCTCCTGTGGACACCAGTCACATCTGCCCTGTAAGTGGGGACAGTGCAGGTGCTGGGGCAAGCCATTGCCTATCTCCCAGCTCTACCAGCCATTAAACTGAATTTTGGTCAGTGCGAGCAGCTAGGGAGACGTTGTTGCTGTGTTGCCCCAAAGAGGATTTTGTGCTTTCTAGTTCCTCCCTTCCCCATCACCCCAGTCTCAGGGGTGGAAAATCTCTGCAGAGCCTGGGTCAAGCTGGCAGAAAAATGGCTGCAGTAATGAAGTCTCTTTGCTCAGGTACTAAGTATTTTAAAAGAATGTGAGTTGTTTAAGCAGCAGGTTGCAGGAGGGAGACAGGTTGCTCTAGAGAAACACTTGGAGTTGGGAAGCAGGCAATCCTATTTCCCTGGGGGTCCTGGCAGTGATTCACATGTGGCACAGTCACTCTGAGGATGGTTGCACGAGCATCTGCCTACCGCAGAGGGTGCAGCACAAAGGTGTTCGTGTCTATGCAGGAATCAAGGTCCTTCAGTCAAATCACACATTCTGTCTGCTGAAATTAGAAAGGACCCAGCTTCTGATGTATTTTAAAGTCAATATAAACAATTAATGTAATAAAAAAAATCAATAGATCTTAATATCATTTAAAATTAGCTATTAATGCTGCATTTGTGATTTTCACAGAAATAAAATCAAATTGTCTGAAACAGTTGCTACCTGAATGTCTGCAAAAATAGTAGAACAATGTGTCTATTAAACTCATAGGAGTCTCTTCTAACACCAAACGGGCAAGAGCAATATATATCTGTCAATTTATAAGATGCCTCAGACTGCCATTTTAAGCCTCAGATGTTTTCTTTAAAATACAGATTAAAATAACTTGCGTTTTTCCACATAATTCAGACTGCATTAAGGCAATTAATGTTTAATTAACAGCAGGTTTTCCTCGGCAGGTCAGATTGCGAAGGGCTCACTGTTGTTGCCATAGAAAGTGGAAGGCTGGGCTGTTTGGTTTCCAGAAAAGGAACAGCTGTGTTCGAGCCCTGACAATCTGAAATCATCTTGGGTAGGCTATAATGCTCCAAAGGACAAGGAGAGGAGGAGGAGGTTGTCAGTGTCACAGAGACCATCTCAGGCTGCTGGAGAATGTCATCTGCTTTAGAAATCAGTGTGCTGTTGTTAGGGTATTTTTTTTTTTTAATTGAACTGGCAGTAGAGCTTTGAAACTCCTGTAAGCACTCAGTAAGCTAATTTAACTGTTTTCCTCTGATATGCTTTTTAATTGCATTGACAGAGCAGTGCAATTATTTCTCACAGTTTTGCTTTTCATCTTTTATTTTTGCTGCTTCTCTTCTCTTTCAGATTCTTCACTCTTTCTCTTGGTAGCCATTTGGGGCTTGTTATGAATATTATCCAAGAACAGATAGATGCACAAATTTCTTTAAGAAGTCTCATTGTTGCTCTGAGTTGAAAGCTGCTATCAAGATGGTGCAAACAGTATTTGTAAAGGGATCTTTAAAAAGGACTGAAATGAAGATAACAAGATAGTTGTAGTGAATTTGTAATAACACAGACTAATATCTCCTGGGGAAAATGAAAAAAAAAAAAAAAAGCAATCTCAAAGAGAACTTGGAAGAGCATGGAGGCTCCCAGAGGTGGTGGAGTTTGCCTTTTCAGTAGGCGCAAGACAAGGCTCTAAATGATAATATCAGTGAAATGTAATAGCAACAACAACCAACTGCATTTTTCAATAGCACAATTCAAGGCTTCATATTGGGGAAGGAGGTTGTCCTGGTCTGCTCCTAGACTTTGGTAATTGCAGGCAGAGCTGTTCCTACAGTTCAGGGCAGTCAGAGAAAGAAAGATTCAGACAAAAAACACCCACAAATTATTTTGGTTGTGGTTTTACTCCTTACTCCTTTCCAAAGGAGAGCTTCCCTGTTTTGGTAACAGATTTTAAGCATCAAAAGTAATCCATTTGTCCTGGTGAATTCATTAATCCCCATACCTGCATATATTTGCTAGAGTGTCTGTCAAGGAAGAACTGCAGTGCAGTGACAGACCTCAGGGAAAGTGCAACCCCAGGGGGGAAAAAAAATATATATATACTTGTGTATAATACATATTGTATATACATACTCCCAGCAAAGGGTGTGAATCCAGATGACTGTTTGGAAAGAGTAGCTTGATAACTGCTACATTGATGCTGTTCCTCAGATTATGGAGGAGACTTAAAAAAACACAAAGTATGTGAAGAAATTAGTCACTGAGGGCACAGGCATGAGTGGCAGCTCTGCCTGCTGTGAGTAGCATGTCCAGCCTGTCCCAGCATGGCCCTTCAATGGTGTTAGCTAACACTATGGGATGCACTGTCCCAGGAAGCCCAAGGCATGTGGCTTAGATAGACCCAGATGAGAAACCCAGAGACGGAAAGAAGCTGGTGCTCTTTGCCTTCACATGTTGGTGCCGAGGGCTGCAATAAGGAACTAAACCCAGTGTATGGGAACCCTTTTGGGCTGCTCCTCCTTGGGAGGCTCTTGAAAGCACTGCAGGGCTGTGGGCATCCTCCTCCCTGGCCCCAGAGATGCAGCCAAGAGCCAGGGCTAGGGCAGCACTGCATTCCTGGGAGCCCTCCAGCTCCTCTCTCTCCACCTGTGGGGTTCTGCTTAGTAGAAAATACTTCAAAAAGAAAAGGAGGACCAAAGTGATTTAACACTATATTTGTCTTCACAAATAGCATGGGTCTGTGTAGCTTGGACTGAGGGCGGTTAAGGGTGGTGGCTTTCTTTGAGTGCCAGTGTGATTGCCTGCAAGGATAGCACTCTCAAACCACGTTGGAGTACAACACAACTAGAAGGAGACAGGGTTTATTTTGGTTTGTTACTGGGGGGAAAACAAAAGAAGGTGTGAACCCGTCTGGTTGGAGAAATCGGTGCAGAGTCAGCAGAGGTGGGGGTTTCTGGAGACATAGCTCCCCAATGTTCAC